GATGCAATTCTTTATTCCTTCGCCAAACAAGTTTACTATTAAACTGTGCATCCATCTGAACAGTACACTCGTAAAAATTGGTTTGAAGTAACTAGTTTGAATCGGGCAACAATTTTGAGTCGCGTAAACAAGTCTTCCACTTGACTTGCAACATTGTCGGGCCTAATAAAGTCACTTATTAGGAGTTTTAACGAAATGCTGAATACATTTTTCAAGCGAGGATGGTAAGGCCCGAGAGACTTGTAGCACTTCTCGGCAGGAATGTCACCGGGCAATTTCCAGTAATGCCGCATGAGGGCGTTTACATGCTATAACAGTCTCTCTGGCCTTGCCACCCTTGCTTGAAATGCTTTTGCCATTTCGTTGACACGCTTACGACGTTTGAAAATAAGTGACTCTTTATTAGACCCGAGAACTGTCGATGTTGTCATTTCAGTGTCTTGAAATAATGGTTATTTTATTGGTCTGAGGTCATAACAATTCAGTTAGTGTGGTGGTGTGGCAGAGTATGAGAGCTAGTAAAATGATCTCTTGGCATGTCCTGCAGAATCATTCTTGGTTATTTTGTAACTATCACAATTTGGAAGACCTTTGAGATTCGTTTGAGATTGTGCGATCTTGTGAATGACTGCTTTTATCTCTCTGCCATTTGTACATCTTTAAAATGCTTCATTGCGAGAGGGTGCTATATTAAGAATGGTTCAATTGACTGGATTAGGAGCTATTTAGCGAAATTAATTTATTTCTACAAGACTATATTCGTTGTGTGAAATTGATTACATTTGTAGTTCCATGCAAGAATTCTAATACTGGTATTAGAATTTACAATGGCATGTGGAGAACATGTACATAAAATTTGCTTACGGTAATTTACTTTATTTTGCTTGGAATTAATTTTTCCCTATTTTCCATGAAGGAGCAATTCAGTGAAAATAAAATCCAGCGAATATACCTTTTTTCCTATATTGACATTCAACTTGCCAAAAATCAGTGAAAATAAATTCCATACAAAACACCAAATGTCTTTAAAGCGAAAATTAATTCCAGCTAAAAATTGGGGGCAGTTTACATATAGAAGATGCACTAAGGCTGAAATGTTAAGTATTTCAGTAAACTACAGCTGATCAAAAAGCACAACATTCTAACGACCTAAAACATGATCAGTTAGTATCTAGGATCCCTATGATAATGACAAATTAAAAAAAAAATAGATTGAGAGGCAATGTTATTCTGGCCAACCTACATAATGCAAATCATGTTCATCTCTTGTATTAGCAGCACCCAATCAGAACTACTACAGACACCTCGTCTTTGCATTGATTGGTTGATTGATTAATCTGACAGATGAGAGCTCGCTGTATGCAACTTAGTAGATTGAAAAGATAGTTTTAGGTTGTTGCACACTGGAGTTTCGAACTTCAACCTGCATCAGCACATCTCATTTGAGTCTCGGACTCTCAGTAAGCTGCTTGGGCTGATAAATATAATGTAAAGAAACGGGTAATTTCAGAGTTTCAGATACCATAGTACATGGCCTGCATACATGGCTGTTTTACAGGTGATATTTACATTGGGATACGACACTTCAACACTGGGCGACAACAAGCCATGGAAATGCGCCTCTACATTCACAGACATCACTCGTGGGTTTGATGCTTGCATTCATGAAATTGCATCGAGAAAATACGTTGGACATGAATTTATCAACATTGGTAATTTCTCCTGAAGGATACCAGTCACTTTATAGGGACTGTGTGGATACATTAGTCTATAAGAGAAAACCTTAAATATCACATCCAAATATCCTTATCAAGGGCGCCCTCTATTGTTTTGATCAAACCCGGGGAACAAAAGTAGATGGTGGGTTACCTACAAGTTAAAACATTGCTTATATACCATATTCTTCAAGTTATAGTTCATGTTTGTGGCTTATCAGAGCTCATTTCATATTCAGTCCATTTCGTGCTAGTAAATTTTTTGATTTTATCGAAATGGAATATTAAGTATTTTTCGAAATTGTCTCTAGAGGGCGCCCTCCCAAATGTTTCCCATTTGCCCATCCTATCCATGTTCATACATCAAATTACATGTACATGTTAATTTACTTTTCCAGTACTTATTCATTACCATTGAAACATATTTCTCATAATCACTAATCTTGTTACTCTGGTAAAAAGTCTACAAAATAGTTTTTATTCTGTTAATCTCTGATAATCTTTTGCCTCACATAGTACTTCCCCGGGTATAAGCCCAGGGGCCTGAACATGTAAAATCGGAAAAATTAGGGGTGGGCTTATACTTGAGGGACCACCTCAGACAAGATATTTGGGGGGGGGGGGTTAAATTGTAACCATCTTCCCAACCTCGAAAAATTATCCAAATTCCATTTTTCGTTCACAGCGCCGGTCTCTGAGAAATATTACGTCTTTTTGATTTCCACGACACTATAATGATATTAATCAACTAACTAATGTTGTAAAAACAAAGCTATCAAATGAATTTATTCAATCATGGAGAAAACAATTAAATAAAAAAGAGGGGAACAAACTTAGAACATATAGTGTATTTAAACAAAAATTTGAACTAGAAAACTATCTAAATGAAATGAAAAACTTCAGCCAACGTAGAGTTTTAGCAAAGTTCAGGCTCAGTGACCACAACCTTGGAATTGAATTGGGAAGAAAGAGTAAACCAAAAACCCCAGAAAATGAAAGAACTTGCAAAAAATGCAATTCAGAAATTTCTTTTGTTGAATTTCAGTGTATTTTAATTTTAGTGTGTCTTATTTTATTTGTCTTTAGTAATCATTTTTTACCTTACGAAACCCACAGATGGTTAAGTTGTGTAAAAGTTATTATTATTATTATTCAAAAAAGTAGAACGATGTTCAATGACCAGGTTTCACGACTTGACGATCACATTTTTGGCGTTTCTAAAACTACTACTCAAAAGAAATATGGATTACTTCAGTATTGCAACATCGGGACTCATCGTGAGTAAATAACAGAATAGAGAAGGTGCGAACTATGTTCCGTACATTCGCCGGCCATGCACTCTGAAATTAATGCGAGTTTTCTTGTAAAAGCAGGAACCAAACTACCATACCAATCACGATTATTATGCAATAAAA